GAAGAAGAAACGTGGACGGCCAAGAAAGTATGCTCATGATGGAAAAGTCTCTTTAGGCCTTTCTCCAAGGCCTTGTGTTATTAAGAAGTCTAAGGACTCTTCTTCAATGTCTGATCCTAATGCACCTAAACGAGCCAGAGGTCGACCTCCTGGAACTGGAAGGAAGCAACGCTTGGCTAATCTTGGTGAGATCTCGAGTTTTTGCTGTTTAATTGTCAAGTTAAGTTGTTGCTTTAGCTAGCTATCTGAAGGACATTTTGAATCTCGAAGCTGTTAATGATCCTATATTCCTATAGTAAAGTTAGGTGTTTGTTACTTTAGCTTTGTCGTTAGTGCTACTCAATAATGACTGTTAGGTATTAGATTGACTGATCCATGTGTGGTACAATGTGACTTGAGATAGTAATTGGCCAACATGGTATATAAGTAGATATGGAGGAAACCGAATTCTTGATTAAAGTTATAATATGTAAGCTTGGTTGCTAGAGCTTAGGTGATTCTATGGCCAAATTAGGTTATTGATTTAGCTTTGTTAATACTGCTACTCAACATTGATTGTTTGGTTTTAAACTGTGAAAGAGTAAATTGACTCTCATCCATTTTTGTTGAGATAATTGGCCATTATAATGTGATTAGTCAATAGAAATTTTTGAGTAATATCAAACTTGTAACTCTGTTAATTTCTTTAGGTGAGTGGATGAATACATCAGCTGGACTTGCTTTTGCACCTCATGTGATCAGCGTTGGAGCAGGAGAAGTAAACTCTCAAAACTCTTTTCAATCTAACAGATATATGCAACTTTTCATTGTTTCAATTTCCTTCTTGCAGGACATCGTTGCAAAAGTTTTGTCATTTTCACAGCAAAGACCTCGGGCACTTTGTATAATGTCAGCCACTGGAACAGTTTCTTCAGCCACTCTGCGTCCACCTACTCTAACCGGACCTCACTTAACATACGAGGTTTCAAAATCATTCATTCTGTTATTAAAAAAAAAACAAAAAAACCTGGAAAGATTTCTTATATAATCCTTTTTTGTGTTCCTTAGGGACGTTTTGAGATTCTAAGTTTTGGTGGATCGTATCTGGTGAATGAAGACGGTGGATCCAAAAGTCGAACAGGCGGGTTGAGTGTCTCACTTTCTGATCCCGAAAATCGTGTTATTGGCGGTGGGATTAGCATGCTTATCGCAGCCAGCCTTGTTCAGGTATTTTAAATGTTTTCTTCTCAATGGTTAAAAAGTAAAGCTATAACGAGGGAAAACAACTAACTACAAATGTTTATGCTGTTTCTTTCTTTCCTCTTCAAGATTTTAGCTCTTAGTGATTTCATAATTTTCTTGTGGTAGAGTTTGAAAGCTTATCATCCCTTGCCCAAATTTTAATCTTTTGTTTGCTCCAATTCAGCTTTTCCCGGTATTGGTTAGAGAAACTTTCAGTTTAGTTAGGTGTTAGACAAAGAACATAACAAGACCATCAAACAAGAAATGAGAAGTTTTATATGTAATGGACCTTAACCGGAAAACTTGCTTGCTATTTTGAAGGTGGTGGCATGTAGTTTTGTATACGGAGCAAGTGCAAAGTCTAATATTAGCAATAACAAGACCATCAGACAAGATAAAGAACCAAAGGAAGAGCTCAACAATAGCGAAGTGGAGGCCACACCGGGTAGTGCACCAGAAGGTGCAGCATCGGCAGTTCAGCAGACGCCACAGAACTTCCCAGCTCAGGGAATGAGCGAATGGCCTGGTTCAGGCTCAGGCTCAGGAAGGTCACTTGACTCGAGCAGAACCCTACTCACTGATATTGATTTGACTCGTGGATGATTCCAAACAGAAACATTATTAGTCTTTCTTTGAAGCAGCAGCAGCAGCATACAGGATGTGAGTGCTGTACATATCTTTGTTGTTGTAAATTTCTCTCTGGGAATGTTAAAACCAGACATTTTCAGGATTAAGAACAGAACTCTCAGTTCCTTCTAACATTGTTAACGTAACAGAACCCTTCCACTTTATGGCTATTTAAGGAGATTTTAACTCTTTATTCTCACTAAAGCTTTCTTTGTGGTCACCAAGAACTTGGTTTCTTCTACATGCGTAATTGGTTTCAGAGATTTAGTAACCTAAATAAATCCTTAATATTTGACCTGTCAAGGTATTTTTTTTCGGTTTTGTTACATCTTAGTAAACTTTCAATTTCTTATGAGACGAACCTGAGATAATACACAAAATTTACATTTTTTTTTTGAATATATAATCGCAAATTAAATGCAAATTTAATGTAAATTTAATTTATGTAGTTCTACTTTTATTTTGGTTTGAAATCGGTTGGTTCACAAAAAAAAGAAAAAAGAAATCGGTGTAGTAATCTGTAATCAGTTCAATTTGGCAAGATTTTTAATCAATTCATAATTTATACATAAAAATTTGAAAAGCATTAAATATATATTCTCAGTGACTAATAAATTTCGTTTTCAGTCAGAGATGTGTAATGAGACATTAGATTTTGTTATAAATCATTTAAGAAAGTCTATATCCTTTCTAATAAAATATTCTCAAACTAATTTAATATTCTGAAAAAAGAGTGAAAAAAAACGAAGTGAATATATATTTTCACAATATTAATTAAAGAAATATATAAATAGAAAACAATGGTCGTCCTCGTCACGCTCCTTTCTCTTCTTCCGTCTTCTTCTTAATTTTTTTTTTCTTCTTTCTTTCTGAGATTTGCTTTCTCTGCTAGAGACTGTAACAGTACGAGTAGCTACTTTTGCCTGTTGTCTACATTTTAAATCTGCTCTTTACTTTCTCGAGTTCTTAGTGAACTCAAGATTTTTTTTTTTTTTTTGGTTTTTTAGGGTTCGTAGAAACAATTTTGGATCTTGAGTCCGCAGCAGAAAAGACCCGACTTTGATTACTGGGTATATAAAAAAAAAATCTGTGAAACCGCCATTGTTGTTCTCTGTACTGCTTTTGGGGATTTAGGGTTTACGATTTGTGGGTGGTAGATAAATTTTGTTCTTCAAAAAGTTTCCTTTTTTTAAATCTCTTAGATTCTTAAAGACTTGTAATTTAAGGTTTTAAATGCATGGAAGGGAGGGAAGCTATGCCATTTCCAGGCTCGCATTCTCAGTACTATCTTCAGAGAGGAGCCTTTACCAATCTTGCACCTTCCCAGGTTGCGAATGGGTTTCACGTGCCGCCGCCACCTCCGGGAATGAGGCCAATGTCAAATTCAATCGTTCACCACCCTCAGGCTAGCAATCCAGGGCCTCCTTTCTCCATGGCTGAGCACAGGCATTCTGATTTTGGCCACAGTATTCATATGGGGATGTCTTCTTCTGCGGAGGTGCAGCCGCCTTTGTCGCAGCCTCCGCCACCGCCGGAGACACCGATGGTTAAGAAGAAACGTGGACGGCCAAGGAAGTATGTTCCTGATGGACAAGTTTCTTTAGGGCTTTCTCCAATCCCTTGTGTTAGTAAGAAGTCTAAGGACTCTTCTTCAATGTCTGATCATAATGCGCCTAAACGAGCTAGAGGTCGACCCCCTGGAACTGGAAGAAAGCAACGCTTGGCTAATCTTGGTGAGATCTCAAGTTTTTCTCTGTACTTGTTTTTTTTTAGTTGTTGCTTTACCTCTGTTTGCTAGTCTTAAAGGACACGAACTTGGATCTTATGTGATTAGGTGAAAGTTTTAATGGTAGAACCTTTTATGTGATGATCCTATGATTAAGTTGTTGCTTTAGCTCTGTTGTTATTTCCACTCAACATTCATTGTCAGGTATTAATTTTACTGTATTCATGTGTAGTACAATGTGAGATGAGATGAGTATTTAGTCATTAGAATGTGGTTAGACAAATTAGTATTAGTAGATTTGGATGAAATCGACTTCTTGATTTAGGATACAAAATGTCAGCTTTGGAACAACTTTCTTCTACATACGTTGAACACGAGCTGGGGTCATACGATTAGGTAGATTTTGGATGCTAGAAGCTTAAGCTGATTGTATGGTCAAAACAGGTTATTGATTTAGCCCTGTTGTTACTGCTACTCAACATCAATTGTTAGGTGTTAAGCTGTGAAAGTGTGATTTGACTGATCCATTTGTGTGGATATGAATAATTGGTCATTATAATGCATTTAACTCTCTTAATTACTTTAGGTGAGTGGATGAATACATCAGCTGGGTTTGCTTTTGCACCTCATGTGATCAGCGTTGGAGCAGGAGAAGTAAACTCTCAATAATCCTTTCAATCTTAATGATTTATGCAGATTCTCAATTTCCTTTTTTTTTTGTTGTAGGATATTGTTTCGAAAGTTTTGTCATTTTCACAGAAAAGACCTCGGGCTCTTTGTATAATGTCAGGCACTGGAACGGTGTCTTCAGTCACTTTGCGTGAACCCGCTTCAACAACGCCTTCCTTAACATTCGAGGTTTCACAATTGTTCAATTAGTTAATTGAAAAAATAACCAAAATGTGGAAAGCTAAAGATTCTTTATCCCTTATTTGTGTTCTTTAGGGACGTTTTGAGATTTTAAGTTTAGGTGGATCTTATCTGGTGAATGAAGAAGGTGGATCCAAAAGTCGAATAGGCGGTTTAAGTGTATCTCTTTCTGGTATTGAAGGTCACGTTATTGGCGGTGGAACTGGAATGCTTATCGCAGCCAGCCTCGTTCAGGTATTTTAAATCTCAATGGTTGAAAAGTGAATCTGAACATCATATTTATGATTTGTTTGTGCTGTTTTGTTCTTTCCTCTTCAAGATTTAGCTCTTGCAGTTTCATGATAGAAAAATGTGGTAGAGTTTGAATGCATCTCTTACATAAAAAATCTTCTCTGTTTTTGGTGCTTTCACGTTGTCAGTACTGTTTGATAAAATTTTGGTTCAGCTCAGTATTGGACAAACTAACCAAAACAAAAGAAGTAAATGAGTCGTTTCTGATACATAATGTTTATTGTTTCTTCCACTTAGCTCCATGGAACAGTATGCTACTACTGAAACATGGAAGTAGTATAATTTTGGTTTGGTTCCATGATGTTTTATGGTTTTAATTGTTTGGTATAGAAAACTGTACTACCCGGAATACAAAAATTCAAAATATGGTTCTGTTTTGGTTCGAGAAATTTTGTTTGGATCTGTTTATATGTAATGTGTCTCCTCTCTTTGTTTGTTTTGTTTGGTCAACATCTAACGTCTCTTAAACTGAAAAACTTGTTTGTAATTTTGAAGGTGGTAGCTTGTAGTTTTGTATACGGAGCAAGTGCCAAATCTTATCATACCAATAACAACAAGACCATCAAACAAGAAAAAGAACCAAAAGAAGAGCACAACAATAGCGATATGGAGACCACACCAGCTAGTGCACCAGAACCAGAAGCATCGGCAGGTCAGCAGACACCACAGAACTTCTCAGCTCAGGGAATGAGCGGATGGCCCGGTTCAGGTTCAGGCTCAGGCAGATCACTTGACTCGAGTAGAACCCTACTCACTGATATCGATTTGACTCGTGGATGATTCTAAACAAAAGCATTAGTCTTTCTTCCTACCACCACCCTTTAGTCTTTGAAGAAGAAGAAGAAGCAGCAGCATACATAATGTGAGTGCTGTACATATCTTTGTTGTTGTAGATTTATCTCTGGGAATGTTAAAACCAGACATTTAAGGATTGAGAGCAGATCTCTCAGTACCTTCTAACATTGTTAAATGTAACAGAACCACCCCCCACTTTCAGGCTTTTTTAAGGAGATATTTAACTATATTTGTACTAGTTCCGATTTATTTGCTCTTGTAATGGCTTATGAGAAGGAACGTCAAGAAAGATGCGACGATGACTATACTCACTGCAGAGGGTTAGCGTAAATTCTAAGAAAGAAAAAAGCTAAGAATGTGTAGAGAATCTTCCAGTATTCATGGTTTTGTTTTCTTTTATCTGACGTCCTTGAAGGGAACCATGAAATTTTCTGAAGTCGCAGGCTCGCAGAAAAAATATTCAAAGTAACATACAGATACAAACAAGAGGCGTTTACTATGACTCTTAACAGACTTTTCTTCACTCGTCACAAAGAAACCTCTATTTAAAGGTTTTGTGACCAAAACAAAATTGGAGAAATTAAACACGAAGCATGTCTTCTTTGATCTTCCTTTTCATTTTGTCCTTCCTCAATGCTAGTTTCACAGCTTCTGCTCAAAATCTTACTTTCCTAAATAGTATCTGTCCGAACACGAACACGACAACTTTCTCAAGAAACAGCACTTACTCCACCAATCTCACAACTCTTTTGTCTTCTCTTTCTTCCCGCAACGCTTCATACTCCACCGGATTCCAAACTGCTACGGCTGGTGAAACCCCCGATATGATCACCGGTCTTTTCCTCTGCCGGGGAGACCTCTCTCCCGAGGTTTGTCGTAACTGCGTCGTCCTTTCCGTCAACCGCACGCTTACTCGTTGTCCTAATGTGAGAGAAGCCGTGCTCTACTACGAAGAGTGTATGCTCAGATACTCTCACCGCAATATCCTATCGACCCCTACACTCAGACAAAGAGCTATAAGGGTTAACAGCAACAATATGTCATATAAACTAGTCCTGTTCAAAGAAACGGTGTCATATAATCTCAACCAAGCTGCGGTCGAGGCAGCGAATAGTCCTCGAAAGTTCTTTACGTTCAAATACAATTGGACTGCGTTCCAGAATCTGTACGGCCTGGTTCAGTGCACACCTGATCTCACGACACGCGACTGTCTGCGTTGCTTGCAACGATCCATTAATGGATTGCCTGTTTACAAAATTGGGGCAAGAATTCTTTATCCTAGTTGTAATTCTAGGTACGAGCTTTACTCGTTCTACAATGAAAGCGCCATTACAACACCACCTCGCGTGCCTTCTCCTCTGCGACCTGGTGAACTATTTCTTTAATTTTTCCTCTGTATTTTATTTTTGAATTTTGATTCATCTGCCAGAACTATCCATCTTAAAGCAAATGATAATATTTGAAACGCAGGGAAAGGTGGGAATCCAAGTGTCTTAGTGGTAGCCATTGTTGTACCTGTTATTATTTTGGTTGTCCTGCTTCCCATAGCTTGTTATTGTTTCCTTGCAAAGAGGGCAAAGAATACTTATGTCACAGCATCTGCATTTTCAGGTAAAGATTCTTCAAGAATTAAAGTATTTGACTTATGTGATTGATTCTGATTACTGAGACTTTTATTGTGCAACAGGAGATGATATAACAACTGCAGACTCACTGCAGCTCGATTATAGAACAATCCAAACGGCAACAAATGATTTTTCAGAGAGAAATAAGATTGGACGAGGTGGATTTGGTGAGGTTTACAAGGTATGCTTTTACTAGTTCCTCTTGAGGTTGTGTACTTTTATTGGTGTTGCCAACACATTTGGATAACGAGATGATGCTTGATAAAAAAACATGGGTAGGGAATATTATCGAATGGGACTGAAGTTGCGGTGAAGAGACTGTCGAAAACTTCAGGACAAGGTGAAACAGAGTTCAAGAACGAGGTTGTTGTTGTGGCAAAGCTTCAGCATAGAAACCTGGTAAGGCTTCAAGGTTTTTGTCTAGAAGGTGAAGAAAGAATACTGGTCTACGAGTATGTGTGCAACAAAAGCCTTGATTATATCATCTTTGGTCAGTTACTTTGTTTCAATGATTCGTTCACTCCTTGAAAATCAAAGGTTGCAAATATTTTGAAGCTAACTTGAAATTTTGGATGTGCTTAGATCCTGCAAAGAAAGGTCAACTAGACTGGACTCTTCGATACAAGATCATTGGTGGGATTGCTAGAGGAATTCTCTATCTTCATCACGATTCACGGCTCACGGTCATACACCGTGACCTCAAAGCGAGTAACATTCTCCTTGACGAGGATATGAATCCGAAAATTGCTGATTTTGGAATGGCAAGGATCTTTGGAATGGACCAAACCCAAGAGAAGACAAGCAGAGTAGTTGGTACCCTGTAAGTCTTTCAGCTCTAGTTGTCATTAATATTCTGACAATATACCAATGATTTTCTTCTGAATATCAGCGGTTACATGCCTCCCGAATATGTAATGAGAGGCCAGTTCTCAATGAAATCTGATGTCTATAGCTTCGGAGTGTTAGTTCTTGAGATTATAAGTGGTAGGAAGAATAGCAGCTTCGACGAGAGAGATGTCGCACGTGACTTGGTCACATATGTAAGTATCAATATAAGTTATACATTTCTTGATTACTTGCAAGAACTGATTGATTGATATTCTCTAGGCTTGGAGGCTTTGGAGTAACGGAACACCGTTGGATCTCGTGGATCCAACCATTGAAGGAAATTGCCAGAAGAATGAAGTGATTCGATGCATCCATATCGGACTTTTATGTGTTCAAGAAGATCCTGTAAAGCGTCCAACCTTGTCAACCATTTTCGTGATGCTCACTAGTAATACTGTGACATTGCCAGTGCCTCAGCAACCAGGGTTTTCCGTTCATACTAGAAACCAGCTTCATGAATCGAGCTCGTCTGTTGACCGTTCGTTGATCACTGATTTATATCCTCGTTGAATATGATGTTAACCTTCAAGCTGGAATCATCTGATATTAATTTTCAATGAAACCTTGGATCAGTTTGCTTCTTTTAAATTAAACCAGCTAACCACACCTTTAGTTTTGTTTGGTGAACCTGTCGAGATTTTATTTGGTTCTGTTGTATCTTAAGCAACTTTGATTCTCTTATGATATAAATTATCTCTTTTGCATCTTATCATATAAATTTTCTCTTTTGGATTTAAGAAACAAAAAGAGACAAAATTCAAATCCAAGTCAATGTCATGGCTTTTTATTAAATGAGAGAGGTTCAGAATCACCTCAGGAGATATTCAGAAGCTTCTTTATGTCATGCTGCAGAAAAAATGAGACAGAGAAGTTAGGAGAGAGAGTGAACTCAATGAGAAAGCAAAAGAGAGAGAGGGAAGAGAGATTGTTTCTTTACCTCAAGTGTAAGAGGGGAAGTAGTTGGATAATAACGTTCTACGGCTTGACCCTTGTTGTCAACAAGAAACTTAGCAAAGTTCCATTGAATGTCATCACCAAAGATTCCCCATTTGCCTTTCTTCAAGAAATTATACAGAGGAGAAGCATTCTCTCCGTTTACTTCAATCTAATACACAACGTAGCCAGACAGATTCAATTGTTTTAAAAACATCAAGACATGGAGAATTGTAATGAATTCGTCAGAGTTATCTACCTTGTTGAAAAGGGGGAATTCAGATTTGAAGCGAGTACAGACAAAGTCGGTAATCTGGTCATTAGTTCCCGGTTCCTCGTCACCAAACTGGTTGCAAGGAAATGCTAGAATCTCCAGACCTGCAACACGACAACATCAAGGGAGAAGTGAATCGCATGTGGAAGAAACAAGAGACTTACACAGACATTTGTTGAAATCATTCATATATACCTTTGTCTTTGTACTTGCTATAAAGCTCATTCAATTCAGTGTAGTTTGAGTTTGTCATCCCACTGAGACCATCAGAGAAGAGTATATAATAAACAAGACAAGAAAACAAACATTTTCGACAAAATTACAAATGAAAGTAGCTTGATACTTGATAGAAGGCACCAACCATTTGGAAGCAACATTGACAATCAAAAGAACTTTGCCTTTGTATTGACTGAGTTCTAAGCTGTTCCCCTTTGCATCCTATTACAGGAGGAGGAAGAAGAAGAGAATTCGAGATTATCCAGCTAAAGACTAAGAGGCCAACACAAGACATCCATCAAAGAACTGATAACATGATCCCATCATATTCTAATGGATTCTTACTAAGAAAAGCATAATCTAAGCAATCCTAAACCAAACATCCGGATACTACACAGAAGACAAACGTTCCTTGAGACAAATGTCACATTCCTTCTCATTCAAAATAGCTCTTATAACGAAGAAAGACACCTTAAAGTAAAAACCTTTTCCCACTCTTAGAACTCTGTATCAAAGATACTTCCTTCTGTTTTTTATGGTTTTAATGTTAAAAGACAAAGGTGCTTCCTTTAAACCAAAAGAAAATCTACTCATTCAAGTTATCAGAGACTGAGAGTGTTATGGAATCGATGATTCAAGTAAGAGCGATTATAACCTCGATGCTTATCTCGTAAACAGATTCTGGGTCTTTCGTCGCCATTGCAACTAGAAATGCCAGAAGCAGGAAATGAGAAAAAACGTCAACGAGGTGAAAGAGAGAAGCTAGAGAGAGACTTGTGACAGTATTCGCTTTACACACGCGTCCAATGCGCGTGGATTTTGATAATGGGCCGTTACTTTCTCTTCATCGCTAGTAAAATTTTGAGCTTACTGGGCTTCTGTCTAATGGGTCACTTTTAAATAAAATATATCATTACATTATTAGCGTTTATAAACTTTAGCAGTTTAAATTTTATATTAAACTAATCATAGAAGAAGGGATACATTGATCATATCTCAGTGAAGCAAAATCCTATATTGATTATTGATTATTGATTATTGATTTTTTCAGTAATTATAATTTTTCTCTAGAAGTGCAATTTTTTATCTCAATCTTTTAAGATTTGTAAATAATATCCAAATAAATTAGCAACATTTGGAAAAATTGACTATGAGATTCAAAGAAAATGAACGTTATACAGTTTTTGCAATCTTACGGAGTAAACTATCCATAGTAATATCAAAAGCATCTCGAAACCTCTCAAACTTGGCATTAGAATCTCCATAGACCAAACCAGGCAAAAGCTCATGTACAATGTAACTCCTCATATCCTCTCTTTCCCTTAGAGTCTTTGACATCAACTTCTCGATCACATTCACTCTCTTTACCTTCTTCACATCTTCTTTGTTTATGTACACTGAATACCTCCGGTGATCTTCCGGTAAATGCCACGTGTACTGATAATACGCGCTGTACGGATCAAAGATCACCGGAATACAACCGGATATTAGGGAGTCGAATATCGATTTCCTTGTCGGACTGTCTCCAGGTGGTTGGAGGCAGAACTCTGAATCTCGGAAGAGCTCGATAACCGATTCCGGTTTGTCGCAGCCTCCGTCGGTACAGTTTAAAAACCGGCATTGGTTTGGAGACGATGTGCATTGGTCAATCAATATTGACCGGATGCTATCAGGTTTACCTGGTCTTGCTCCTCCGGCGAAACTGATTAGGCTCTTACGAGATTTTCCGATGATCTTGTTTTGCCAGGTGGCGATATCGTCGTCGGTTTTTGGGTGGAAGTATGTGGGATGAGGTATAGCAATGTCGTTAGCTTCCCATGGATGACGTTCGATGAGAAGCTTTGTAGGGTTTTTCATTTCTTGCATCTCAAGTAAGCTTGATCCCCACGAAAACTTATTGTTCCTCCTAAAATCCCAAGAGATTTTTCCGAGAACAAAAACATGATCTTTCCCCGCGTTTTTCCTCCATGATTCTTTCGATGCGAGCCATTTGACAACCTCGATCGCCAAAACATCCTTCACATCCTCGGAGACGTTCTTGAAATGCCATCTCAAAACATCGATTCCACCATAGAAAGGCACGTAGAAGAGCTTCGCTTGGCTTTCATCATAAACCCTGCATGGATGCTTTAAAACTCTAGAGTGAAAGATCGGCTCAAGGGAGTACTGATGAGTTCTGAACCAGCCTTTACCAAGATTCTCAATTAATTCACCAAACGCATCGTTCTTGAAGTAGCTGCAAAAATTGGCCCATGGAACCATATCGGAGCATTCGCCCAACAAATCTTTGTTGAACTTAGACGGTAAATCATAAACATAAACTCCTTTTCCTTCGCAAGATCCCGGCTTTTCGCGGTTGCTTCCCGTCGATAACCAAGATCTTTGTATTTGTAGATACTTTTCAACGGCTTTTAGAGCGGTTTCCTCGTCTTCATCCTTTGATTTGAAATATCGGTATCGTTCTTCGCCCGTTTCTGGATCCCAATCAACGAGGAGCTCTTGATCTATCTCGCTTTTGGGTGAATAATCTTGATCAAGAACGGAGCCAAGATTCTCCTCATGGATGGATTTAGAATCTTGATCAAGAACGGAAACTCTTTCTCCGGTGAAAGTATCATTCTTCAAGACGTTGAGGCTTGTTCCAACCATAGATTTGTCTAAATATCTTTCTCCCGTGAACGTTTCATATTTTGCGAAATCCTTGTCTCCATCTTGATCAAGAACAAGTACATTCTTCTCTTCGTTACTTCTTACCACATCTTCACTAACCGGTTTAGTGAAATTATTGACAGGTACACGTAAAGCCGGTTGAGAACCGGCAGTGAGACAATAAAGATCATTGAGCTTCCGCGAAGAGATACAAATGTGAACGACATTACCAGAGATAACAGTCGTGGAAGTTGACCAAAGATAAATGAAGAAGAGAAAGAGAATTGTGAGAGGTACACGATAAAGAACTGATCTAGAGAAGATCGAACAAATGTTACTACAGCAAGTACGAGGATCTTTAAGTGTTTTCTCGGCTTTTTCTGTTTCGGTTTTTTTGGATGGTCTTGGTCGTCTTTTTGAGACGGAGACAGGCATTTTCTTGTTTGGTTGTTTTCTGCACTCTAATTTGAGTGTAATCTTTTGTAATAAGCTTTTCTAACGGACATGCACGCACGTCGTCTAATAATTGTGATATATGATTATTGAGTTTGCACGTCTTGGAGTAACAAAAATAAACTATTTGATTTAGAATAATTGAATATCAAGTATATACATTTAGATTCATTGTGAGTATTTGCATATGTAAAAGATGTTAATGGTATATCAATAAAAGTGTGTTAATTTACTAATTTAGCATTCAATGAATCTATTGGAAGACATACCTACCTACCCGGAAGAAACATACATGTGATGTGGAGTTTGTTCACCAAGCTATAGGAAATTAGCTTTATCCATCCTTTCATATTTTTCTACAAGTTTAGGATTTGCGCCGTGCTTTCCCCAAGACAGCAGATGGGAGAAGATTTTTGGTGTCGCATACGCGTAAGAAGTCGCCCCACTAACCACGATACATGAATATGATCTTGGGTAAAATCATAGGGGAATATCTTTTTATGTTCTTTTTTTGGGTCTACCATAAGATAACATTTTGACAACTATGTCGATGGTCGTTGCTACATCTGTTATGAGGCTAAGATCAATCCTACATGTTCTTTTGGATCTCTATATTAATTATTTTCACGTACGATCCGATTCAGAATTTTTGTGAAGCATGCAAATATTGCTATATATAGAGATCCAAATCTGCTATCATTTACTCCAATCTACATGTGTTTGCAAGGAAACCAAAAAAAATAAAAATCACGTACTGTATGTACTAAAGTTAGACTCATCAGCAGCATCCCAAAAGAAAGGTGACAAAAACATTCTTCGATAAAGACATCAGACCAAAGTATATCAAGATCGATCAAAGTATATCACACCTGCTGTTGTAGTATATATGAAACTTTTTAGTTGATGCTTTGATATCAATTGTAATAGTGAACAACTTAAGGAACAACAATTCTTTGACTCACCACTTAAAAGGAAACACGTCTGTAGTTGTGTAAGAAGCTCTTTAAAGACTTTCAAGAAAACAAAACCCTCTGTAGAAGACCATTTATGGATAAATTGCTTACAGATTAATTAAAGCCAAGATATAATATATGAGGATGACAAATTTATTTTTTAATTTTTTTTATGGTGAGGAAGACAAATATTCAGGAAACAATAACATACAACCCAATAATGTTTCTTGTCTTGCATGCAGTAACTATTCTTTGACTATTTACTTTTTCAAGCTTAAAGGACCACACCAGTGACACCACTAATTAAGATAGACCCATACATGTATGGTTGTAGATTTTTGTAAATTTTCTTTTTATTTTTTCGAAGTCAAGTCATAACGCGTTTGCCTAATTACGCGGAAGCATCCTTTTTATTTTTTGCTTTGTACTCCCAAAAGAATAACACATTATATACTTCGAAGTATCTGATTTTACTTATCTTCCACAATTCCTTACCTCATTTCCATATTCTATCTCAACATGTCTCTCGTGGCTTCTCCTTCTTCTTCAAAACCTCGCAACTACAAATTCAAAGTCTTCTCTAGCTTCCACGGTCCCGACGTCCGTAAAACATTTCTCAGTCACTTGCGCCAACATTTAAAAGACAACGGGATAACTATGTTTGATGATGAGAAGATTAAGAGAGGCGGAGATCTCTCTCCTTCACTCAAAACTGCTATAAGAGAGTCGAAGATCTCGATCGTGATACTCTCCCAACAATATGCTTCGTCAGGTTGGTGTTTAGATGAATTGGTGGAGATCTTGAAACTCAAAAAAGCTATGAAACAGATAGTGATGACTGTCTTCTATGGAGTGGAGCCATCCGATGTGCGGAAACAGACCGGGGATTTCGGTAAAGCTTTCAAGAAAACTTGTGCGAATAAGACGGACAAGGAAAGACATAAGAAATGGAGCAAAGCTTTGACTGATGTCAGCAACATTGCTGGAGAAGACTTCAAGAAATGGTTTGTCTTCACTCAATCTAAAACTTTAATTTCTTCTGTCTTATTAATTAAGTGGTAATCACATCATGATACAAAGACAAAAATGTAAATATAGTTCATGGTGTACGTTTTATAATGAATAGGTTGCAAAATAGAACTTTATAGATTATTGAATGAGTACTAGACATACGTGTCATAAATTATTGGGAACAGAGGAGTGTTATGTCTTATTAAGTGTCAATCACATGATGAATAAATATATAGTTAATACTTAGTAGGGTGGAGAAATCAAATATAGTTGAAGGGAATGTTTTTTTTTTGTTGTGAATAGAGGAGTGTTATCTCTGTGAGACTATTTGATGGAAATGGTGCTTTTCTTTTCTTTCTATTTTGTTAGGGATAATGAAGTGGACATGATCAAGAAGATTGCAAAGGATGTTTCTGATAAACTTAACAATACACCATCAAAGGATTTTCAAGACATGGTTGGACTTGAAGCACATTTGAGAAGAATGGAGTCTTTGTTACATTTAGATAATGAAGATGACGCTATGATTGTTGGAATCTATGGTCCTGCAGGCATTGGTAAAACTACCATTGCTAGAGCTTTGAAGAGCCTATTCTCAGATAGGTTCCAGCTTACATGTTTTATGGACCTCAGTAGTAGCGATCATAGTGGTCTTCACGATTATGGTCTGCAGTTGCGTTTACAAGAACAACTTCTTTCGGAGGTTTTTAATCAAGATACGAGGGTAGGCCATTTGGGAGTGTTACAACAAATGCTGTGCGACCTGAGAGTGCTAATCATTCTTGATGATGTGAATGATGTAAATCAACTAAAGGTTTTGGCTAAGGAAACTACTTGGTTTGGTCCTGGAAGTAGGATTATAATAACCACAGAAAACAGAGATCTTTTGAGGCAATGTGGCATCAGCAATGCCTACCATGTGGGATTTCCATCTAGAGAAGAAGCGCTTCAAATCTTATGTAAATATGCTTTTGAACAAAGTTTTCCACTTCATGGTTTCAAGGAGCTTGCAGAAAGCATAACAGACCAATGTGGTAACCTCCCATTGGGACTCCGTGTGGTGGGTTCATCTTTATTTGGGAAGAAGCAGGACGAGTGGGAATTAGTAATGCGGAGGCTAGAAACTAATCCTGGTCGAGAAATTGATGACGTATTAAGAGTCAGCTATGAAAGGTTACATGAAAATGATCAACTGCTATTTCGCTACATTGCAGTTTTCTTAAACTACAAAGATTGTGATCTTGTGGAAGCCATGCTCGCTGATGATGGTAACTTGGATGTCAAATACTGCTTGAAAATCCTAGTTAACAAATCTCTTATAGAGATAAATTACAGTGGGGAAATAGTGATGCACAAGTTACTACAACAAGTGGGTAGCCAAGCAATTCGTAGACAAAAGCCATGGGAAAGGCAAATCTTAACAGAATCTGGTGAGATTTGCGATATTCTTCGATATGAGAAAGTAAGTTCTTTTCTTTTGCTCCTTACTATATCTAAACAAGTCACTTAGTAAATTTTGTAATTAACCATTTTTTATTTATTTGGAATTTGGTATTAGGATACTAGTAGTAATGTGTCTGGCATATCATTTGACACATCGGGAATAAGTGAAGTGACTATAAGTGATAACGCTTTTAAAAGACTGTATAATCTTCGATATCTGCAAGTTTACAAAAGTAGAAAAGATGGGAATAACAGAGTGCACATACCTGAGAAATTGGAGTTTCCACCTCGTCTAAGGTTACTAGAATGGGAGGCATACCCAAGCAAGTGTCTTCCTCCTACGTTTAATCTGGAATGTCTTGTGGAACTCAGTATGTGGGGAAGCGAGCTCGAGCACCTCTGGAGTGGCACCCAGGTTGGTGATGTACTTCTTCAAATATACTTTCTCCTTAAGTTGATCGTTATGTTGTTTTGTATGATGTTCTTTTAAGTCTCTTATCGTGTGGTTTTTATATTCAGTCGCTTAGAAATCTCAATAAAATGGATTTGACGGGGTCCATGAATTTGAAAGAGCTCCCAGATCTTTCAAATGCTACAAATCTGGAGACATTGGATCTGGGTGAATGCGAGAGTTTGGTAGAGATCCCATCCTCTTTTTCGCATCTTCATAAACTAAAGACGTTGTGGATGGATAACTGCGTAAACCTACAAGTCATTCCAGCTGACATGAACTTGGCATCCCTTGAAGGTGTGTATATGTCCGGATGCTCAAGATTGAGAAGATTAATAACACATCTCCCCGCGAGTTTAGAATCACTATACCTAAGCCATACTGATATTGAAACGATCCCAGATTGCATCAAAGATCTTCATCATCTGCATTTACTTGATATAACTGGCTGCAGAAGACTAGCATCATTGCCAGAGCTCCCTCGTTCGCTCTCTTATCTACATGCAGAAGGTTGTGAATCACTGGAGACCGTATTTATCCCTTTTCGCGCTTCAAGAGCGCGTCTCAATTTCACCAACTGCTTCAAATTGGGTGGAGAAGCACGGAGAGCAATTATTCGACGACCATCGAATTATGCCAGGTCACTTATCTTACCAGGAAGACAAGTACCAGTAGAGTTCGATCACAGAGCCAAAAGTGATTCCTTGACCATTCTTCTCGATGCAGCTAGTAAACCCATGTATGGTTTTTACCGATTTATAGCCTGCGTCGTGATTTCCCCTAACCAAGAAATCACAGAAACTATGTCTGGCATGTTATGTCGCATCAACGGCCACTTAGAATCTTACGACATATGGGATGTCGCAAAATATGGAAGGGAACATCTATTTATATTTCGAACTGGCTATTTATGCGGCGACACCTCCGGAGCAGACACAGAAATGGTGTTCGAATTCAGCAGCAAATTCGAACATCACTTCGACATTATTGAATGCGGTGTCAAGATCTGGAACCCAGAAAGCTTCGAACAGGGATACCTGGGGTTTGAAGACGACGATTATGAGATTAAAGACGATAATGATGACCGTTCAAATAGAGTTACTGGACTCTACAAAGCATCCAGGAAGCGCCCGAGGAAGACGACGACTGCTCTACAAATCTCATTGAAAATCCAAAAGCGACGACGTTTCCAAAAGAAAAGGAAAAATAAATTGCAGTATAAGATAAAATTATTGTAATTTATAATTTTAAAATTTGTAACATTTTTGCTTAATTTCCTTAATTTTGTTGTTTGAGGATGTATATAAAAATTTAATTGATATTGTTTAGCCTTCAAAATATAAATTATATCACTCTCTGCTTTCATATAGTAATGAACCAAAATTTGTATTCTCTCTTTACACATATTTTGGATCATAATTATTAATTTTGTGAAAGAATGATATGAATCTATGATATATATATCAACTGTCATTTGATTTATCAATGTTATGAAGAGTTAGTTGTTGATAGATGAATCAATGATAGAGACTTTAGTTTCGTTTATAGCATGTAAATCCATTATTAGTAAGTTAACTTGTAGATAAGGAGTGAAAATTTACAGGACGGATTTATTGGTTGAATAACCTTGTACTCGGTTTTGGTTCAGTTTTCTAGACTCGCTCCACCTGAATCTCTCGGATCTCCAGATGATCAAGCTTCTCAGGCCGCTTGTAGTTCTTCAGCAAGAGAGAGCAACACACTACACTAACAGAAGAAGCAGCCATTGCAGCACCTGCAATCCATGGAGGCAACCTGAAACGTGTCGATGGGAAAAGCACTCCCGCAGCGATCGGTATCCCCATGAGGTTGTACCCGAGAGCCCATACGTAGTTGAGACGGATTCTTGAGAACGTTTTCCTTGAAAGATCAATGGCTGTGATCACATCTTCTAAGTTGCTTTTCATCAGAACTATATCCGCTGCTTCTATGGCGATATCAGTTCCTGCACCAATTGCCATCCCGACATCCGCTGCCACGAGAGCAGGCGAGTCATTGATTCCGTCACCCACCATTGCCACAACATGTCCCGCAGCCTGCAAAATTTCTTGCTTTTATCAATTCAAATTTTGCAAGTATAGATATGAACTCTGTAACATCTAGTGTGGAGCTACTAAAAAGTACCTGTAATTCCTTGACTTTCTCTGCTTTTTGCTCAGGTTTAGCCTCTGCGATAACCGAGTCGATACCCACTTCTCTAGCAATGGAATTCGCAGTTCCCCAGTTGTCACCAGTTACCATGATGCTTTTGATATTCATGGATTTTAGAATGGAGATGGCTACTCGAGCACTCGGTTTTAGAGGATCCGAAACAGACAAAACTCCAATCAACTCGCTGTTTATGGAGACAAGAATCCCGGTCTGGGCCATCTCTTCAGCTTCGGTTAGCAACTCTTCAGCGTCGACTGGAATAATAACTCCATGACTAGTCATCAAACTCTTGTTTCCCACCATAATCTCTCTTCCTTTAACGATGGCTTTCACTCCATTTCCAGTGACGGACACAAAATCACGGGATTCAGGCCACGCAGGGTTCTCTTCGTCATCTCTGAATTTCTTACCATACTCAACAATGGCCTTTGCTAACGGATGCTCACTGTTTACCTGACAAAAGGATAGTGTCATCACAGTGATATCATTTTTCATGTAGGCCATAAGTTCCAAAATTTAACCAGAAAATTTTGTATGCATGTTCAATGGTTACAAGAGATTACCTCAGTTGCGGCAACAAGTTCATAGAACTCTCGAAGTACCATGTTTTTCAGGAGTTTTGTTTTCACAACCACAGGCTTCCCCATCGTGAGAGTTCCTGTCTTGTCAAAGACAATGCAATTTACCTACACCATCATTGAAACTGTTAGGTTCCATCATCTTTAAGAAAACAAAATGGTACAGAAAACCTCAGTCACATACAATATAATAAGTTACAATGAGGCAAAAGACCATATGAGCTTAACAAATTTACCACACACTAACCTTGTGTGCTCTTTCTAGGGCTTGGCCACCCTTTATCAGCACACCTTGGGATGCACCAACCCCAGTACCAACCATAACAGCAGTTGGAGTAGCCAGCCCAAGAGCACATGGACAAGCTATGACCATGACAGAGATCCCGAACTGAAGGGCTAGCTCGAAGCTATCCATTGAAGGAGGAATCCAGGATTCAGGGTACCAATGCAGTTTCCCAGCTAAGAACCAGGCAAGCCAAGTTGAGAACGAGAGGAAAATTACCTGCAACGTCATTCAGTGAGTTTAAAAGTAACTGTGCCTTGAAATACTAAATTTGCTGTTTATCAAATGTCAGATTACTCACCAGAGGAACAAAGAACTTGGAAATCCGATCAGCCAACTTCTGAACAGGAGCTTTCGCTAGCTGCGCAGACTCAACAAGTCGTACAATCTGAGCAAGAGCACTCTCTGAACCAACCCTTGTAACTTTAACATGCAGAACTCCATTCTCGTTCAAAGTGCCTCCTATAACTGTATCACCCTTTCTCTTTGCCACTGGCCTTGCCTCTCCAGTTATCATACTTTCATTCACATGACTTTGTCCCCATATGACATAACCATCTGAAGCTACTTTAGCACCAGGAACGATTTTGATCACGTCATTCTTCTGTATCAGTCGACCATCAATCTCTTCTTCACCAGTCGCATTCCCTTCCTCGTCCAAGGACAACAATATCGCAGTGTCAGGTGCCAAGTTCATAAGCTTTGCGATCGCTTGAGATGTTTTTCCTTTAGCCATAACCTCCAAATATTTTCCTAGTATGATAAACGAAATGAGCATGGCGCTAGTCTCAAAGAAATCTACTCCCTTGAAATCAGGAGAGGTTGCAGCTCTCAACACTGTGTATAACGAATAGAAATAGGCTGCATTTGTTCCCAGAGCAATCAGAACATCCATGTTAGCCGATCCCCGACGCAAAGCCTTGTAAGAGCCAGTATAAAATCTCCAACCGATGACAAACTGGACAGGAGTAGCCAAAACCCACCTTATGATTTCTCCAACAGTCAGCATATTGATGACTTTAAACATGAGCAAATCTTTAATTCCAGGGATATACATAAAGACCATGGCTGTCAAAAACACGGGTACTGTAAAAACCAAACTCCAGAGAAACGACCTATAGTACTGCTTAATCTCCCCTTGCTTCTGAGATTCTCTGCCTACCCCTCCCTCGGAAAATATCGTTGCCTTGATGTGACCACTATGACCAAAGACAGTAGACTCAATCACCTGAATGAAATTCCTCGGCCCAGTCACATCAGGTTTGTACAATACAGATATCGTATCAGTCCCATGGCTAATCTCAACACTCTGAACTCCAGGAAGTGCTTCAAGCGATCTTTCAATTATCTTCATGGATTCATCAGTAAACTCACCATCAATCTTCAAATCAATCTTGCTCACATCCTCGCCCGTACTTATAAGCACAGCTTCAAACCCAGCATTCTCTATCTCTTCCAATAGTCTATCGTAACTCAGTAGTCTAGGATCATAATGAATCTCAGCTTCTTCAATTGCTAAAGCCACATGAGCTCTTTGTACACCATTAACCGATTGCAATACTCTTTCGATCGTTGAAGAACAAGAAGTACAAGTCATACCGTTAATTCTTATCCTGCAAACTTGTCTAGACCTCTCATTCGCCTCATTTTCAATCAAAGATGCTTCAAAGCCAGCATCTTCAATAGTCTCACGAATTGTCTCCACCTGTATATATAATCCAAATCAAAAGGACCAAAATAAGAAAAACCCTAAATCCCTAAATCAAGTCTAAATCGATTCAATTGAGATTAAGTAAAAACCATAGCTTACATCGACAAGGTTAGGGTAAAACAGAATCTGAGCACGATTATTAAGAGCATCGATGACAGCTTCGTGAATCCCAGGGAGACGCTTGATAGCTTTCTCAACAGATCCAGCGCAAGCAGAGCAAGTCATCCCCAATACTTGAAAAATCGCCCTAGAAATGTCCTCCTCGATCTCAAACGCCGTCGCCATGTCCGACGACGATCCACCGCCGCGAGACCTGGTCAGGTGCTTCCGCACCAGAGGATAACGCTCGCTGAATCTCTCTTTTCGTATGCATGTGAGCTCCAAAAGCTTCGTCGCCATGTGAGCGAATCTGGTTCTTTTCTCGTATAATCGAATTTGATTTTGTCTGCTTTTTGTTAGGTGTTGTGGGAAATGGTGAGACTTTGAATTGCTTTGCTTTTTAAAAAAAAACGGCGAGGGAAAAAGGTTTGGGGATGCTAGAAGACAAAATTAGTGGGGTGATTCTGTAAATATTTAAACAACAGGGTCCTATAAATAAATTTATGAAACCGCCATTGCTTTTTTTAATAAACCTTTGACTTTAAGCATTAAGAGATAATGGATTGGTTAATTAACAGTGTCATTGTTACGACATGATGAAGTAATCTTACTTGTTCTTTTTTTTTTTTTCTTCCATTTTTAGGTTACAATTTGTTTTATTTACTTATATAATATGTATATATGTATATATGTGTTGCATATATGTGTTGCGTGCAGTTAAATAAATTTCTTACAATATTTATCAACGAAACTTTGCTAATCCATATCCATTTTAAGGTTAAATGGCATCTATTATACGTTACGTGTCTGCCTAACCTTAATAACTTTTTATTATTTGCATTATAATTCTGACCCGGTTTGTAGTTGACTAATTTACGTATGAAATAGTTTTTTTTTTTTCTGTTTGAAAATTACTTGAATTTAATAAATCACAAGCCAGATCAAGTAACTTGCAAGTAATCAAATTTTGGATTATTCCATACAACGAGTTCTGCATTGTGAAATTCTTCTTTGATCTCAAATTATATTTTAACTAGTGATGGACCCGCACGTACGTGCAGAGTTATTTTTACAAAATTACGATTTTTTAAGTAGATGTGATTTCGGTAAAGTTTTGTTATATGAGTTTATTTGATAAACGATATATAGACATACAATTGTAAAATATAGATATTGTATTACATGATAAAATTTTAAAATTACAATTTTAACATTTTTTAAATGAAAATGATAAGTGATATTACGTGTTTATTTTTTAAACTAATCAAAACATTTCTAACTGTTTGCTTAGAGATGTTCAATCGGATTTGGGTTTGGCTTTAGTTTGAATTGTTTTATGTGTAGTTTAGAATGGAAACCCGTCCTGTTCCTTTCCGTCTCGTCCTGACCCGTCCCGTCCCTTCCCGTCTTCTATCTGTCATAAAATTTCTGATCCATAATCGTTTCTTTTTAAAACATAATCATTTGCCAATGTTTATTATAAGAAACTTGGCAAAAGATTTAGACGGGATACTCATATTCCTCGTTTAAATATTTATTTTTATCAAACTAATAAAAATC